GGCCAATGAGGTTATGCAGTGCTTAAGTTTTCACATTCTGATTCAGTGGCCCTAGGTTTGACAGTTCAGACCCTGGGTGTGGACCTGTGCACTGCTTGTCAAGCCATGCTGTGGCAGGCATCCCACATATAAAGTAAAGGAAGATGGGCACAGATGTTAGCTCAGGGCCAGTCTTCCTCAGCAAAAAGAGGAGGATTGGAGGATGTTGGCTCAGGGCTAATCTTCCTCAAAAAAAAAAAAAAAACCAAACACATTGCCTGGGTTAGATACAGGTGAAGAGAGAATTCATTAACTAGAAGATATATCTGAAGGAATAATCCAGCATAAAGAAAAAAGCAATTAAAATATGGAAGATAAGTTAAGAGTCATGAATGACAGGAAAAGGAAGCCTAATAACAGAAATCCAATATATGTCCAATTTATGTAAATGTTGAAAAGGCAATACTTAAAGATAACAGCTGAGAATTTTCCAAAATATTTGAAAAAGTTGAATATGCAGATTCAAGAAGCACAACATGTTTTAAGTAGGTTACTCTGTTTCTTTATCATTTTCCATTGTTTTTAGAGTTCACTCTGAATCATAGTTTTTAATTTATTTAAAATCTCCTAAAGTCATTCAAATTGTTAAGTGTGCTATTCTAGCAGCAAATTAATTTCTAAACCCAATACATCCCAAGAATTGATTTTACTTAGTTAATATTGTAATTTTTATTGTGGCTTCCTTTCCTTTTGCTTCCATATTTGTCTTGGGTAAAGCTATGTTTTTCTTCCTCATAAAGGAGATGTAGTTTCTTATCTGATGGTTAATAAAGTCTTATTCCACAAATTTGCTTCCCATTTGAAAACCATGCTTAATTTGCACTTAATAAGCAAACCAGAGTGAATTTGAAAGCATAAGATATGATCTAAGAGAGACTGAAGACTAACCAGAGAGGATTCCTGAAGGAAATCTTTTACTCTAGATGGGGTTCAAAACAAAATAAAAAGAAATAAGATTTAGGTTGCCAATCCAGCACCAACTATCAGAGCTAATTTCAGCAATTAGCAGGCCGAGACTGCACACTTAAATTGGTAATTACATTTTGATAATTTAAGATGTTTCACACCCCAAAAAAGATAGTGAAGACTATAGTTTCTAAGACTTCCTAGTTTATAAGATTTCCATTGCTTTTACATATCATGGTAACTTAATTAGGTATAGAAAGCCTATACAATAGTAAGACTATTTGTATCATTGTCTAAAAAATTTTAGTTATAAAGAGAAAGGCTCATGACACCATGATTTTGGTGTTTTTTGTTACTTTTATTTTTATTTTCATTGTTTGTATAATTTCTCTAAGTATATGAGTTAAAAATATATTCATGTAAAGTATGTTTGTATTCATTTTACATAGAGTAATAACAGCTCTTCTATCTTTATACCAAGGTCTTTATGCACGTATAAAGGAATTTTTTTAATTTTGTTTTTGAAAATAATTTTATTATGCATAATTCATGCATACCAAAGTATGTATTCACATGAAATATAAAGAATAATATTGAATTAAATATTTATATAATAACCACTTGGTTTGGGAGGTATGATTGGAAGAATTATAATAAAATTGCATCCCCCTCCTACATCTTCCTGAGATAATCATTGTTCTGAATTTAGTGTTCACAATTCACATTTTTTTCTCCCCAAAGTCGCAGTGCACAGTTGTATATCCTAGTTGTACTTCCTTCTAGTTCTTCTATGTGGGACACCACCTCAGCATGTCTTGACGAGCGGTGCTAGTTCTGCACCCAGGATCTGAACCAGCACACCCCAAGCCACCAAAGTAGAGTGTGTGAATTTAACTATTATGCCACTGGGCAGGCCCCTTACAATTCACATTTAAAAAATATATATATTTTAACCATATATGCATCATCCGTAAATAAATATGGTTTATTTTTGCACATTTTTTAACTTTATATTAACTTTATATGAATACAATGTGCTAATTTTGTTGTTTTTAGTGCTGTAGAACAGATTTTGACTTCTACTCACCCTACATACAGGAAAGCAGAACCCTGCTCAGTCTTTTTGGACCACCCTCTCACCCTCTGGTGCTCTGTCAGACAATGCTCTGCAGCTATCCACAGGGTTTTCATGGCCAATTTTTTCAGAAGTGGGTGGCCAGTGCCTTCTTCCTAGTCCATCTTAGTCTGGTAGCTCTGTTGAAATCTGTTCATCATGGGTAACTCTGTTGGTATTTGAAATACCAATGGCAAAATTCATCAGCATTACAGCAACAGGTGGCTGCCACAGTATGATGACCGACAGATGAGTGGTGTGGTTCCCTGACCGAGAAACAAACCTGGGCTGAGGCAGTGAAAGCACCGAATCTTAACCACTAGACCACCAGGCCTGGCTTATGCTGGTTTACTAAATCTTATCTTTGTAGGAGTCTTCCATAAGGAGGCATATTATTCTACTGGCATGGTATCCTTTGGCTATATGCAAATGTTTCAACTTATTTTTGTATTCAAGTGTGTTTTTGTGACCAAAAACTGACTTTCGTGTTTTGCTGTTATAAACAATATTTCTATGAACATTATATAGCTCCCAGTGTACTATGCAAGGTTTTACTAGGGTATACGTCTAGAGTGTTTCCTCTTGTGTGATGTGCCTGTCCATGTCTTTTCTCTTTGTTCACTGTGTTGCTTACTTTTCTAACTGATTCTTGAATACTGCGTAATCCTTTTTCCTGTCTATTTTGACTGCTATTAATATAGCTATATCAGCTTTCTCTCATGTATCAATGTGATATATATATTTATATATAGTGTGTATACATAAAAATACATATTTACAAAACTCCTATTTTAATAATTTTCATAGTTTTCGGTAGTCTAGACAGATAATTGTATTACAAATAATGACAATTTTTACTTTTTCAACATATTGGTACCATTTATTTGTTTTGTCTTGTGCTGATTTCAAAATGCAACAAAATATACAATAGAAAAGAATGAAAATATTCTCATTTATTTCTAATTTTAATGGGAATGAATTTAACATTTCAATACAGTAGTCTCCACTTATGCAAAGTTTCACTTTCTGTGGTTTCAGTCATCTGTGGTTAACCTCATTCGAAAATATTGAATGGAAAAAAATCCAGAATTAAACAATTCATAAGTTTTAAATTGCACACCATTCTGAGTAGCATGGTGAAATCACTGCATCCTGCTTTGTCACACTGGACCTGAATCATCCCTTTGTCCAGCGTATCCATGCTGTATACTCTACCAGCCCTTAGTCACTTGGGAGCCGTCTCGATTATCAGATCGACTGTCATGATATTGCAGTGCTTGTGTTCAAGTAATCCTTATTTTAATTACCAATGGCCGCAAGGCCCAAAAGTATTGATGCTGGCAATTTGGATATGCCAGAGAGAAGCGGCAAAATGCTTCTTTTAAGGGAAAAGGCGAAAGTTCTTGAGTTAATAAATGAAAAAAAATCCTACGCTAAGGTTACTAAGATGTACAGTAACTTTTATTATAGTATATTGTTATAATTGTTCTATTTTATTATAACTTATGGTTGTTAATCTTTTACTGTACCTAATTTATAAATTAAACTTTATCATCAGTATGTATATGTAGGAAAAAGCAGACTATATTTAGGGTTTGGTTCTATCCGCGCTTTCAGCCGTCCACTGGGGGTCTTGAAATGTATACGCGGAGCATAAGGGGAGACCCACTGCTGTATTAGGATGCCACTCAATACAGGATTTTGGTAGATATACTTTTCAGATTAAAGAATTGTCTTTCTAGCTCTAGTTTTGCAATATTTTATTTGTTTTCCTTTTTTATGATAAACTATTTGCTTTTTTAAAAAAAGTAAATTTTAAATGTTTTCCTCTAAGTTTTTTTTATTATTAGCTCCTTTTATTTTCTTTTAAATTGTTAAGATGAAGAATTAAATTAATAACTATTCTAATCTTAAATCCAACTTGAATTTCTGGGATAAACCCTACATGTTTTATCTATTTTAAATAATCATAGATTTTATTTGTTAATACTTTATGATTTTTGGATCTATGACTATGATTGATACTGGCCTATAATTTTTTTCTTATATTTTCTACTTGATTTTGTTTCCAATGTCATTCGAGCCACATATATTTTTTTTATGTTTTTTTGTTTTGTGAAATAGCCTCTGTTGTATTGTCTTTGGAATGGTTTGTTTATGTTAGGTATTAACTATGTTTGGCATTGCTTAATTAATATTTGCTTGAATCACCTTCTAAAGTCTTCTGGATTTGGTGATTCTTTATGTGATAATTTTAATTACTATTTCAATACTTTTACTAGTTATAGGACCATTCATATTTTCTATTTCTTCTTGTGCTTCTTTTGGTGCACTAAATTTTGCTAGGAGACAAATCAGCTGCATTTTCAAATTTCTAATTTATTGGCATAAATGTTGTTTTGTCTTATTATCTTCTTAACCTCTACTGTATTTATGCTTGCTTTCTTTTTTACAGTTTTATTTATTTGGATATTCTCTCTTTTTATTTCAGTGAGCCTGGTTGAAGATTTGACAATTTTATTAATCTATTTAAATAACATATTTTTGGTTTTTTTGATTATCCTACTTGTTTTATTTCTTACATCAATTCTGCTTTATTATTTTCCAGTTCTTATTTCTTTCATCCTTAATTTATTTAAGATTTTTCTTTTGTCCTTTTTCTATTATATGAATTTAATTATTTAACTCATTCCTGTTTATTTTCTTCTTTTGTGATATAAGTATCTTAAGGCTGCAAATTTTGCACTGTGAACAAGTTCAGCTCCATCAGCTAAGTATTGATAAATGGATATCTGATTCACTCTAAGTATTGCCTAATTTCCTTTTAGACATTAGGCGTTTTAGGTGTTCCTTTTAGATTATTTTTATTTTTCCTGAAACACATCTATCATATTCTTTAACTTGGTTTGAAAAATATTAGATTTTTTTTCTCAGACGGGAAGAAGAGGGAATACACAATCCTAGCAGAGATTAAGACTCCTGGAGGAGCAGCATAATTGCAAGAGCACAAGATCAAAATCAGACATGGTGACTTTGAGATATCAGAATCATAGACATGTGGAAATGTAAAGTAGGCACATGAAACTCAGGGAAGTCCAGGACAGAGATACAAATTTGAGAATTGTTGGCATAGAGATTAATTTGAAAGTCTTAGGAGTCAACCTGATTCTCCTGGAAGAAAGTGGATAATTAGAACATAAGAAGGTCGAGAGGCCAAGGGCTAAGGAGCCCTAGCATCTAGAAGTCAGGAAGTTTCAAATGATCAAGTGAAGGTAGCTAATTGATAATGTGGAGCAGCTTAGTTATTAACGAGAGTAGAGAAATAATTTGATAGCTGGAAGGAGACATTTGGTCAAAATTTTTGTTTTGCTTTCTTCTTCAAGGAGGAAAATATCACGTCATGTTTGAATGCTGACAAAAGAAATCCTGAAGAAAGAGAGTGATTGAAGACATAGAAAAGATGACGGAAAAACTGGAATAGTAAAAATGCAAAACAATCTAAAATAAAAAGACTGACAACATCAGATGTTGTCAACGAGGTGAAACAACCAGAATTTTTATTTATTGTTGATGGGAATATAAAACGGCCCAATAATTTTGTAAAAAATCTGTCAGTTTCCTATAACAACCATACACTTTATGAGCCAGCATTCCACCCATAGATATTTATCCAAAAGAAATAAAAACATATGTTTGTAAAACAGAGTGGCTATAGCTGCTTTATCCCATACTACTACCAAATTAGAAATAACACAACTGTTCATTAATAGGAAAATAGATAAACTGCAGAATATTCAGAAAATGTAATATTTCCCGGTCATAAAGGGAAATAAACTACTGATACATGTAACACCATGGATGAATCTCAAAAAATGTTGTGCAGAGCGAGAGAAGCTAGACAAAAATTAGTGTGATTCCATTTTATGTCAAGTTCTAAAACAGGGAAAACTAATTTCTATGGAAAAAAGTCAAGACAGTAGTTTGCTCTGTTGGTGGTGGAGGTAAGGTGTTGACTGGGAAAAGGATGAGGAAATTTTCTGGGTGATAGTAATATCCGGTATCTTTATAGCAGTTTGGGTGATGTAAATGTATGCATTTATAGAAATAGAAAATATATATTCCTTTGTATATAAAACTTACTTCAAGAGAAAAATAAATAAATATTAAGCTCTAGTTAATGATAAGCATGCTGAAGTATTTAACAGTAAAGTAATGATTCCTGCTTTTACTTGGAAATACATTAAAAGATTACAAGATGGATTGATGGTGGATGGTTAGAGATGTGATAAAATGAGTTAGGTAAAATATCAATGGTAGCATCTAGGTAGTTGCTACATGGATATTTACTTTCTATGTGTTTGGAAATTTTTATAACAAAATGTTGGAAAAATAGAGAGAGGGTGTCTGGAGCTATGTGATTGGATTTCCTTTTGTTAAGAGGAATGCCAGTGCAAGGATTTGGAGGAAAAAAGGCAGTCAGAGAAGCGCTGCTCCTGGAATGAACCAACCCTGAGAGAAAGAGAAGACACGAACATAATTAAGTCATTTTGGTATGATAAAACTCCTCAGAAATCTCAATTTGTAGATTGCAAGAAACGTCTGGACATTTTTGTGGCTCAACTCTTCATCAGCTTTTTAAGATTGTTAAGGGCATAACCCACATACTTTTTCTCTCTATGCACTTGGCTCAGTGGCCATTCACTGACATTTCAATTAATGAAGCATTCCTCTTCTTCCTCTATCATATTCTTGAATCACGCAAAGGGCCCCAAATCATAGTCTTGTAACTGCACAAAGAATCTCCTTTCCCATGTCGGTAAGTTTATTTAAAATCTATTCTTCATTGTTCTATTTAGGAATCTTTCTTTGCTCTCTCAATGCTTTGAAGTCAAAGGCATCTTCATTTCATTTTGCAGCTCCCTCTGACAGCTGATGCAAGCTGGCAGAAGACGAAATGTACTTCAAATGTGGCAGAAGGGCTCAGTTCACATAAAGCAGCCATTCTCTCCTCTGATCCACTCTCGATCACTCTGAACTGCGCCAGGTTAAACAAGTCCAATCTCTCTATGGTACCTTGTGCAAGATTTGAATTTTCCTCCATGGGGCATGCCCTCATTCATTTGTTTGCATGTTTATATTTTCTGTGGCAAGGAAGAAGCAAAGAAAAGTGAAAGGTGAGGGTCATCTCTAATGGAGAAATGCTGGAGTGGGCTCATTTGAAATGTGCCATTATGCACACCAAGCAAAACCTAAAGGAAACCACTACACAGAAGAGCACCGCCAAGATTCGCCTGAACTCAGGATGCCTTATAGAAACTGGCCCCTGAAATTAAAGTCAAACAAGTCTTTTTCTTTTCTTTTCTTAATGACAGAAAGATTCAGTAAAATTCTACCACCCTGGTTGAGGGGTAAAAAAGTAAAAGCAAAATGAATTAAAAGTAGCATGTACATTCAAAATTTAAATTTCCTGCTAGTTCAGCAATGTAAGATGTCATGGGTAACACAGGGAATACTTATTTAAATTTTTCATATACTCTCAGAATGAATCAAGATTAAAATGAGGGAGTGCACATAATAGCAAGAAAAAGAGCAAAATCTCAAGCTTTCTTCCAGGTGAAAGATTAGTCATTTAGGGCCTTCCATCTAAAAAGCAAAATGGCAACTGCTATTTGCTTGCTTTAGAAACAAGTTTGTCCAAAATAGTTCTCTAGACAGTTCCACTCTGTTAGATTACTAGCGTACTCTGTTTAAAGGCAACCACTGTCTTGAATTCTTATCCAAAACACTTTGTCCTATCAATTTCGTTTGCTCTAAGTGGGTGATCATACACAAATAGGTGTGCTAACTCTGGTTTAAGTAGCCTGACACAAACAGATATTTTAAAAGGTGCCTAGATTTTTCAATGTACCTCATATTGGTGTTTCATTTTTATTTTTGGCATGGTTAGTGCTGTGTACAAAGTAGGTTATTGTGTGCTTTAATTATCAAAACGTGAAAAGAAACTTGAGAACACGACTTTATTTCATATTCTGACTTTGTCTTCCACACTCCAGTTGTTACTGGTATTAGACACACTGACATACACACAGAGAAAGGACAGGACATAGGTAAAGCAAACAAAAATTGAAGAAAACACAGGAAGACAACATTTATAATGCCACTGACAAAGCCAGTCACTTCACTTTAAATAATGTGGCAGGCTGCAAAACTATAGTAATTACTAGAATTTCATTTTCATTAACTAATAAACCAAGGAAAACAATTTAAGTATCTGAATGTCATTTTTCAAATGAAAATAAACTGTAAACATTTGAATAACATCACAGCAGGGATAATATACCTAAGGAAATCTATTGAAATATGCCAGTGGATTCATCCTCTTCTATCACATTAAAACTGCAATTGACTGTAAACCTCCTACCACTCTCCACTGAGACTTTAATTGTAAAGATTCCTGTTACATATCATATTTGAATTTAGTTAAAATTGTAGAACACATTATTTCCAATCAGACAGCCAACCATCACTCACAAAGATTTTTAAAAAGGTGATTAATAATTCATCTCAGATAAGGAAAAGATCTATATTTATACCATCTTCTCAGCCACCATAAACTACCTGACAATTGTTCAGTAATGATGCCCAGTAAATTCTTTAAAATGGTAATTTGTCATTCTGTCACTTCATTTGTGACCTAAAATTCCTCACTTGAGGCATCATCAAATAAATTAATCACTTTCCAGGATCCATTTCTCTGTTCTGCACGTTATTATGCCCGGGCTCTCTTGTGTTTCTCTTCATTTACATATATTTAATGGCTGAGCCGTGGTTCACGATGGCACATAACGCACACATCTCATTACAGGTGAAATATTCTAACTGCCACTATCACTGGGAAAGAAAATAACTCTCCCAATTTAATTTTCCTGATGTAACAAAACCATGATTCTTCACTATGAAATGTTGATGCCATCCATCAGTCACAATCAATAAAATCATCATAGAAAGACGCCTTCTTCAGCATCTTTCCTTCATACTGGTATTATTTGAGGAAGGTAATTAAACTCATAATATGTAATGAATGTAAATGAAGTAAAAATCCTCATGTTAGCTCTCTAACTATGCTTATTTTATAGCTTTGATTTAAAATATTTCCCCCACAACTTACAAGTACATAAGGCCTGAAGAGAGAGGTATCCACTGCAAAGACAATATTCATCAACAAATAGAACTAATTTTTAAAATAGCGTTTTTCATATAAAAGTACCAAGTGTTACTATTTACAGGTTTTTCACTTAAATGATATATTCTCTTTTAGTTGACATGTTTTTAGGCTTTCTTCCAATGTAGCTAGTAGTTTCAATGTAGGCACTATCGTGTAACAAATTAAGTGATTTTTTTTTAAGTAATCTGATCTACTTTGATTCCTGCTATGAAAGGGCTGCAGGTACCGTCTGCTCTCAAGCTACGAAACCTTGTTGAACTTGCAATATTGCCTGTCTCTGCCTGAAGAAATCCGTGAAAATATACATCAAAGAAGCAGGACATTTCACAAACAGTGGTTTGGGAATTAGTACTTCTGAACTATTTCCACCTACTGTAAATATTCATCTCAAATTGCTATGGTATTATTTTTGTAAAGGTCAATAGGGAGTGTTTTAAAGTAAACTAGTGTCACATAAACATCACCCATGTCTCTAAGTATGTTACAACTTAATTTAACATTCATTAACTGATTCTTCCCACATACTTTGGAACATGAGTTTCAGGGGAATGGTGCCGTACAGAAGTCCATTCGGGATGAGGATTCCCTTCATTATGAATTCATCATCAAAGAATGGCGACTTTCTGTATCTTGGAAGTGGTCCCTGTTTGCCTGTTTAAAATAATGCTTGAGAGAGTGTCTAAAATAAGAAGTGAAATATTAACTCCACATCTCTGAAACAAAGGAGAAAGTAGGTGGGTATCGCTCCTCCACACATGAATGATCTAACTACAATATTGACAAACCATCCACAGTGCACTACCTTCCTTCCTCATTAATTATCATATAGTTATTTTTAATGGGCACTTATTTAAGAAAAAAGACTGTGTGTGCAGTTTTGCATATGTTTTTATTAACACTGAAGCAGTCTGTTAACTAAAAGCAAATCCTGTAGCACACAAACCCCTCATAGATTTAGCTGGAAAATAGTAGTCAGCCACTTTCTGGAGCTCTTTGGGGACAGCCTGAGGTGCATTTGAATTTTGAGTGTCATCAGCTCAGATTGAAGCAAGAGCTGGGAGCTTGATGGGCGTTCCGACATGAGACTGAACTAGGGCCCTAGAAGATGTGCTGGTATGGGATGTAGCTGGTTGACTCTTCAAACAGACACCAAAACGACTTGGAATGGCTCATTGTGGTGATGGTTGCAGGGGCTGGAAAACAAAATTCTATCGTAATTAAACAAAACAGATGCAACTCAAGTCTCATAGAAAATAAGTCTGGGATGCAGTGGTACGGATTAGAAGAGTCAAGCTCTAAGGCTATTGGAAAATTCACAAAAACTATAGCCGAGTGATACTAAATACGTGTATTAAAACAAAGACATTAGGCAAAATAGATTAAACTATTTTGGACAATAGGAGAAAAAAGATAGAGAAAAAATATTATTTATGGTGCACGAATGAGCTTTGTGGATTGTTGCAAATTTGATGCTCTGAATATTCGATGAACTAAAATATATCTGAAGGACAGAGGCTAGTAGCCAGTAAAGAAAACAGGTATGAAGGTGAGTAAGATTCGTGTCATGAACAAAGAGGAAAAAGGAAAGATCGTTGCAAACACAAATGCATATATTAATTACGTTAAATGTACCACAGAAACTAGTGATTGTCCACAGACACTAGTGATTCCCCTGGTGTGGAAGAGTGCACTTAACAAGAACAAAACTTTAAAGGGGATAGGAGTCATTTCCTTATTATTTAAACAACCATCTCCGTTGCAGAAGAAGAATTCACTCCTCCAGTCGTATTTACAATTCTACTAACGAAAGCTGCCTCCACTGAGATAGTCCACTCAGCTAGTCCACTTAAAGAGACCTGGCTGTTAATATGCTTATCCAATAATAGCACCAGAAAATGTTCTTGTTACAGTGAGTTGCCTTGAATATTGTTTTCGAAGACCATAGAAAATTTGAAAACATAGTTAAACTCCAAGTTGCAATTTGTAGAATAAATGCTGTACGGGAATTTCTAATGAAATTGAAGTTTCCATTAGGATTTCCAATCTTAATAAACCTAAGGTAGTAAGCTTAGTTCACACATCTGACTATGGCCAAAGGCCAATGTTTATAGGCTTCTGAAATAACCAGTTTTGCCTGAGACAACTTATTATTGAAAATTTGAACTACCCTAGCACATGAACACTGCAGTGAGTTTGATCCACTGGTTAACTAGATAACTTTGCCTGAGTTACTTTTCCCCTTGAAAGTCTCCTCCTCCTGGTCTGTAGAATAGGAATCAAAAAGCAAACATATAACTCACAGGAGGGCTACCAAAATAAGAAAATGGGTAAAGTCGAGTTATAAAGCTTTAAAAATCAGGCTAGCCATATTTCTTTTTCTTTTGTATTGTATTAATTTGCTAAGGCTGCCATAACAAAATACCACAGATTCGTATTTGTTTGGTATTTATTTATTTGGTAAACAATAGAAATTTATTTCTCACAGTTCTGGAGGCTGAAAGTCCAAGAGCAATGTGTCAGTAGGTTTTATTTCTCCTGAGACCTCACTCCTTGGCTTGCAGATGGCCACTTTCTTGCTGGACATCCCACTCCCTTTCCTCTGTGCATGCGCATCCCTGGCGTCTCTTCCTCTTTTTACAAGAACCCCAGTCACTGGATTAGGGCTCCACCCTTATGACCTCATTTAACCTCAATTACCTCTTTAAAAGTCTATCTCCTACTGGGGGTTAGGGCTTATCTTATGAATTTTAAGGGCACACAATTCAGTCTGAAATAGTAAGTATATATACAATAAAATAAATTCATATAAATATCATCACAAATTTCAAGAAAAATTTCTTAGGCTAACTAGTATTAACCACGACTGCTCACTCACATCCAGTTCTCTCTCTTCTCAGGCGTTTGGGAAGATTACACACCCATCTTTTTGCCATTAGGTTGGTTTTGCCCAATTGGTTATAGGTGCACGTGATAACTTTAACTTGCTGTCAGACTCTCGAGCACTCTGTTCCCTTGCTGTGGTGATCATGATCTTGAGTTGAGATGAAAGTGTCACAAGACAGAGGCAGCCTGGAAGGTTGAGTCTCCACATGGAGGAAACTGCCCTGCATAGCTACTCGAAACTGCAGCCGACTTTGCATGCGAAAGAAATAAACCCTGGACTTCGTTAAATCACTGTGGCAGGCACAGCCTAAAGTGACTCCTAATGAGTCACGCGCACGTATAATCTCCTCTCCTTGAGTGAAGGCTGCACTTGTGACTTGCTTCTTACCAATAGAATATGGCAAAGGCGAGTGGACAGTCAGTCCCTTGGATGGGTTATGCTATATGGCAAAGGTGATGGGATGTTACACTCATGACTATATTATGTTTTAAAAGATTCTGTCTTAGGCTGCTGGGGAGAGACTCTTTTTCTGGCCTTGAAGAAAGAAACTACTATGTTATGAACTGTCCAAGGAAAAGACATTGAAGCAAGAAACTGTGGGAGGCCTCTAGGTCCTGAGGGTGTCCCCTACCCAACACCTACCAAAGCAGCTGGGCCCTCAGTGTCACAAACTTAGGAACTGAATTCTGCTAACAACCACATGCACTCAGAAGAGAACCCCAATGTCTAGAAAGAATTATGGCCTGGTCAACATCTTTTTTGCAGTTTTGTGAGGTCCTGAGCAAAAGACTCTGGTAAACTCCTTCTGATTCACTAAAACTGGGAGATAATAAATGTATGTTGTTTTAAGCCACTAAATTGGCAGTAAATTATAGGCAGTAGAAGAAAACTGACACAGCCAATGAGACTTTCAGGTTGTTTGTTATCTCAGCACAAATCTAGCTGATCCTGACTGATACTGGAACGATTGGTAAGGTGGAAACAACAGGGCTAATTGCAAAGTAGTTAGATGGATAATCTGTTGAACAATCAGAACCAACACGAGTACAGAAGAATGGACAGACATCATTCAGAGGGGAGGTGCGCTACTGTACTAACCTCTCACTCACATCTTTGTCCATTGGGTGATGCAAAGAAAACATACTTCTTGAATTTCAAGATGTCACAAAGTTTAGAAGGTTATCAAAAACATTGGATTTCAGAAATAGGACCTCGGGATACCTGTAAAGGATAAATCTAACAAATACTCACTAAAAGGAAATAAAAGGTAGGATCTTTAGCAACTAAACTACTTGACCTGCATACCATGATCTTAAGTGTTGCCTCTCCCACCTAACCTAAGAGGAGCAGAATCTGAAGCAAACATGTTTCATTCTGGACCACATTTAATCTAGTGTCATCCTCCTTTTCCTCTTCAGCAGCATCATCAGAAAACATGTATTAAGAACTGTGCTGGCTTCTGTACAGAATAAATAACAGATGCAATTGCTATTTGTGGGAAGCTTCACATCCAAGCCACTCATGTGCACTTATTAAAAAGAAGAGACAGAGAGAGTTGAAATAGTTAAATACACAATCCTGAGACATACAAAGAACTAAATCCCCAATGCTTAGCAAAGGTTCTTCTAATGAATCACAGAATGGAATCTTAAAGCGTGGCAAATTTGAAAGAGAATTCTCTAATAAGAATCTTTGTTTGTTTGTTTGGGGGTCTGAGCACTAAATAAAACATCAGAGACAGCCCTAGTTCCTTCGGAATGGCAGCTTCCCAACAGAAATAATAAAGCAAAATATTTTTATACTTATTTACTTTTTAGTTATATTTATTATTTTTAACAATAAAGCAAAAAACTCTCTCTACAGTTTGTAGAATTGTGGAACATCAATAAATACATTAAGTAAATAATATGGCTCGTATATCTTGCCACCGGAATTCATAAGAGAGCCTGTGGAATCTCTTTATGTATAGGTTTAATAATCGGGCATATTCTCTGCTATCTACTAGAATATAAACACAGGCCTCATGGAATGCATGGCACTGTCCTTTCTAATCTTTTATTCTACCAGAGAATGATTTTTTTCTGATGGATTTTTTAACACCTTATTCCAAAATGTTAAAGTGGCCTCTGTTTTTTCTCTTCGTTAACATTTGACTGCAGTAGGTGCACTGAGTTCAATAGCAAGGATTCTGTTATCTTCACAGAAACACGCCAAAGGGAGAAGTTGTCTATCGTAAATATTGCTGTTGTGGTTCAGACAGACGATGGATACGTGGACTTCAGCATTTTCAGTGGAACGGTGTCCAGTAAATTTATGAGCCTTGGACCACCTCTGTATATTCCACAAAATAAGATGGAATGGAGCTGACAAGGACAACTAACTCATTCCAAAGTTTCTCCTCTTTTAATAGTCTCAGTCCTGGGGAAGCAAACCTAAACTCTGAAAGATGTTTTCTCCGTTGCACAATATAGTGAGGTTTTCGCTTTTTTTATTTTTTTAAGTATTAACATTACCATTTGCTGTTTGAGTTTTCCATGGTACTCAGTTTCAACAACAACAATTAGTAATAGGAGTGCATTTGCTCCTCAATGCTGGGAAATGGATTTTTTTTTTTATAGGCACAGCCTGTTTTCCTTAATTAGATGTACCACCAAGGAGTAAAACAAAAGATGAAACATTCTCCAAAGGAAGACAAATGGAATTAATATTCCAATTAGGTAATTACAATCCACCAGCCTAAAAGAAATCTCGAGTCCTTTCCTTTTCAATCACAGATTATTGTGCAACATAGGTCTGTTACACTGAAGTCTACTTGCTTGCATACACGCAAGAATGCTTTTCAAGTTGAGGTTAAAATCATTTCTTCTTATGTTTAGTGGCTAGTTCTGAATTGTTTGGAATTTACTGGCATGATACAGCAAAGGAACTGACTTTTCTCAGAGTTCTTGCTACCCCTACCTAATTTAAGGATTAAATAATATGAATCATTTATGTGACACAATCCAACACGTTATTTTTCTTTGATTGAAAAGAAGTATGGAATTAATGTTAAGAGAATGGACTCCTAAGTCAGATCACCTTGTTTCAAATCCTGGTAAATGTCATTTGTTAGTTGCATGACCTTGGACAAGTTACTTAAACTCTCAACGCCTCAGATTTTCTCCAATTTACAATTGTCATAGTCCCCACCTTATTGTATATAATAGTGGCAATTAGTACTTGTGAACATTTAATATGCACCAAACATGCTTTGAAATACATCACATATATGTTGAGTCTACACATGTATCAGCCACCTGGACTAGTTTCTGGCATAAACTGAGCACTCAATTAATGTTGGTAATGACATTGGTTCTTATTAGTAGTAGCAGCATTCATAGTAATGAAACAGACCTGGTAGAGTTCTTATCAACTTTCTCTAACTCCAGTTGTTGTTATAGATTTCAAATCCAGTTCTTCACAGACAGATATTTCAAAGGTCCTGTTCAGTTCTAGTAAGAAGTTAAGAGAATATGTTATGAGTATCTATGAAGGATGATGAAAATTTCACATTAAAGCCTTCATATTTTAAAACTGTCTTAAAAATGCAATATGTATTGGCACAAAATAAGTTTTGTCTAGATAAGAGCTGAATAACAATATGAAGAAAACATGAATTATAACACCAGTTTCCTAAATTCATAGAGCCTTATTGGAATACTGAACACAAGTTCTCAACTTTCATTGTATCTATTAAAAATACTGCTTTTGTGGTGATGGGAGGGGGGGATCTGGTTGTAGGAATGAAAACTGGAAAATTCAGGGTGCTCCTTTCCCCTATGTATATCACAACTGCTCTGTGTTTGGACCCAAACTGTCCCACACCTCTCAAGTGAGAGTAGAAGGAGAAGCGATGTCTCACATACATACGCCTGTGTGCACGCTCACACATACCGTCACTGTACTCCTGTGCCGTGCTCACCCTCATTCACTCATTCTCTAGAAAGAAAAGGCAGCAGAATAAAATTATAATCACAAACACCAACCCTAATTTGAAATTGTTGAAGGATATCAGTAATCACAAGTTTTGCCATCTATTTTAAAGATAATGTGGACATTTTGTTGTTCTTGGATATCTTAAAGTGTCAAATAAACACATTCTCTTGTTAGAAAATAAATCAAACAGTTGAGTGTGAGATGAAGCAAAAGGGCTAATTTTTAATTCCTCCATTCTACCCTCTGAAGGAATCATTGTTCATAGATTGGTTTATATTCTTGCAGGTAGGTATGAATTGCTTTTTTCTCTTGACAATATATTGTGGCTATTCTTTCATGACAGTATTGACAGAGTTTCTTTTCCTTTTCTTTTTTTTTTTTGCTGAGGAAGATTTGCCCTGAGGTAACATCTGTTGCCAATCTTCCTCTCTTTTTTGCTTGAGAAAGATTAGCCCTGAGCTAACATCTGTGCCAACCTTCCTCTATTTTGTATATGGGTAGCCAGCACATCATGGCTGATGAGTGGTATAGGTCCACACCCTGCTTCTGAACCTGCGAACCCAGGCTGTTAAAGCAGAGTGCACTGAACTTAACCACTACGCCATGGAGCCAGCCCTCTGATAGATTTTTTTTAATAAATATTTGAGCACTCCTCACACGATGGGAAACAAAAGAAAATCTGAGGCATGCATTAAATAGGATAATCAAAAAAGCAGGAGGGGATATTCGAACAGAGGTTTGAATAAACACACCAGTCCACTGTTCCAGGGAATGGTTTTACCATTAGGATGTTTAGGTCTGTTCCACATCTCCACTATTTCAAGGAACGAAGTGGACATACATCATGTAAATGCTGTGTACTCATGTGAGTTTTTCAGTGTAAAGATTTCTAAGTGGGACAGATGCACATTTAAAATGTTAATAACTATTTCCAAATTGCCTTCCAATCCAGTTTACCAAAATGCTCTGACACTGGGACCGTGTGAGTGTTCCTATCCTCCCTGACCCTTCCCACCTCTACAGACTGTCACATTTTCTTTTTTAATGTTGCCTAATTTTACTGGTGAGAAATGGTATTTCTACTTCCATTTCCCTGATTACTAGTGAGTTTGCAAATCTTTTCATATATTTTTGACCATAACACTTGCTTTTTCTCTTAACTGTCTATTTATGTACATATTGTTGATCTTTTCCCAAAAGATGTGTAGAGGTCTTTGTGTGTTAAATTACCCTTTTCTATCATAGAGGTTGAAAAGAATTTATCCAGTTTCATGTTGGTCTTTCAATTTTGCTTACATTGCTTTTCGTAAAATTTTCTTTTCCTTTTTATATATCAAAAATTGTTATTTTCCTTTGTCTAGTACCTGCACTGTGCCAGGCTCTCTTCTAGGAGCCAGAGATATAAAAGGATTAAGAACATTTACAGTCTAATGGAGGGAGATAGACAAAAAATTGTATAAATGTTAGGTGGTTCCTATGTCCTGCAAAGGATAAGCAGGAGAGAGAGTCAAAAAGTGTTGGGGAGTTTGGGGCTGCCAGTTTACAAAAAGCGGTCCAGAAGCCCTCTCTGAGAGGGTGACATTTAATCAGACCCCAGAAGAAAGCGAGGGAGTGATCAAGAGAGGGAAGGACTTTTCAATCGGGGAAACAGCAAGTGAGGGAGGACCCTGCCAAAAGTGAAGAAGAGCAAAAGGGCCAGAGGCCAAGCGGATGAGTGAAAGGTAAACGCTAACAAATGAAGTCAGAGAGGCAGCGGGTATCAAACCAGGTAGAACCTTGTTGGCTGTGATGTGACAAGCCACTGGGAGATTTTGAGCAGTATATCTGACTTCATTTTAAAGGATCCTTCAGCCTACACTACAGAGAATAGACTATAAAGGATGAGAACAAAGACCGAAGCAAGGAGAACGATTATGAGGATACTGCAATAGACCAAGTAAGATATACTAGCTTCTGGGAATTTTGACATGCTTATGAATTATTTTCTTTAAGACTATAAAGAAAATATGCAAATATTTTCTCCTTGAAGCTAAGTTGAAATTTTTGTTTATAATTAGATTTTTTATCATGTGTAATTTATTTTATTTACTTGATTTATTGAGATATAATTGATGTATAACATTGTATAAGTTTAAGGTGTACAACATGTTGATTTGATATATTTATATATTGCCATGTGATTACCATCCTAGCATTAGCTAACACCTCTATCACATCACATAATTATCATTTCAGTGAGAATAATTAAGATCTAGTCTCTTAGCAACTTTGAATTATATAATATAGAATTGTTGACTAAAATCACTGTGCTGTGCATTAGATCTTCAGAACTTATTCATCATCTAGGTGCAAGTCTGTACCCCGTAACAACATCTGCTCAATTCCCTCACCATTCTACTCTAAGTTTCTATGAGTTTGGCTTTTTATATTCCACATTTGTCTTTCTCTGTCTGGCTTGTCTCATTTAGCATAATGTCCTCAAGTTCCTTCCATGTTGTTACAAAAGACAGGATTTCTTTCTTTCTCTTGGCTAAATAATATTCAATTTTCTCTGTGTGTGTGTGTGTGTGTGTGTGTGTATTTTTTCTTTATCCTTTGATCCATTAACAGACACTTAGCTTGTTTCCATATCTTGGCCATTGTGAATAATGCTGCAATAAACATGGGAGTGGCCATATCTCTTTGATATCCTATTTTCATTTCCTTTTGATATATACCTAGAAGTCAGATTTCTGGATCATATAGTAGTTCTATTTTGAATTTTTTGAGAAACCTCATTCTGTTTTCTATAGTGGCTAAACCCATTTACCTTCCCACCAAAAGTGCACAGGTGTTCCCTTTTCTCCACATCCTCAGCCACACATTATCTCGTCTTCTTGGTTATAGCCATTCTAACAGGTGTGAGATGATAGCTCATTGTGATTTTGATTTGCATTTCACTGGTGATTAGTGATGTTGTGCATCTTTTGCTGCGCTTGTTGACCATTTGAACGTCTTCTCTGGAAAATTGTCTATTCAGTTCCTCTGCCCATTTTTTTTTTTTTAAAGATTTTATTTTTTCCTTTTTCTCCCCAAAGCCCCCCAGTACATAGTTGTATATTCTTCGTTGTGGGTCCTTCTAGTTGTGGCATGTGGGACGCTGCCTCAGCGTGGTCTGATGAGCAGTGCCATGTCCGCGCCCAGGATTCGAACTAATGAAACACTGGGCCGCGTGCAGCGGAGCGCGCGAACTTAACCACTCGGCCACGGGGCCAGCCCCTCTGCCCATTTTTTAATTGGATTTTTTGTGTTTTTTGTTATTGAGTTGTATGAGTCCCTTATATATTTTGTATATTAACCCCTTATCCAATATATAATTTAGAAATATCTTTCCTCATTCTGTAGGAAGAATTAATATTGTTAAAATGTCCATACTACCCAAAACCATATATAGATTCAATGCAATTCCCATCAAAATTTCAATGACATTTTTCACAGAAATAGAAAATACAGTCCTAAAATTTGTATGGAACAACAAAAGACCCCAAATAGCCAAAGCAATCCTGAGAAAGAAGAAGAAAGCCAGAGGCATCGTACTTTCTGATTTCAAACTATACTCCAAAGCTATAGTAATCAAAACCATATTTACTGGCGTAAAAACAGACATATAGACAGTGGAACAGAATAGAGCCCAGAAGTAACCCCTCACATATATGATCAACTAATATTTGACAAAAGAGCCAAGAACAGTCAATGAGGAAAGGATAGTCTCTTCAACAAATGATGTTGGGATAACCACAGGCAGAAAAATGAAATTGGACCCCTTATCCTCTACCACGCACAAAAATTAACTCAAAATGGCATTAAAAACTTAAACATAAGACCTGATATCATAAAACTCGTTGAAGAAAACATAGGGAAGAAGCTCTTGACGTTGGTCTTCACAATGATTTTTTGGGATATGACACCAAAAGAATAAGCAACAAGAGCAAAAATCAACAAGTGGGAGTATATCAAAATAAATTTCTTTGTACAGCAAAAGAAACAATCAATAAAACGTGCAATTTATTTTAAAGTAAAAGGTAAAATAGGGCTTCTGCCTTTTTTCTCCACACTTACCTGTTTTTTCAAGGACTGTTTGGGTTAAATGTTTTGTATTTAGACCTTTTATCCACCAAGAATTTATTTTGTGAGTGATAAATTAGAGATCCACCTTTAAGGGCCTTTTCCCCAAAGTCTACTATTCTAGCAACATTTAATTTAAAAAATTATCTTTCCTTTTGTCATAAATAGGAATCCATTGCCAAATCTAAAGTCATGCAGAGTTACCCTCCTATTTCTTCTAAGACTTTTATAGATTTGACTGTAGTAGTTAGGTCTTGTCTTTGAAATTTTTCAGTTACTTTTTGTATACAGTATGAAACAGGTCCAGTTTCATTCTTTTACATGTGGATATCTAGGTTTCCATACCATTTGTTGAAAATCCAGTTCTTTTCCCCATTAAACAGTCTTTGTCTCCTTGTCAATAATCAGTTGA